CTGGTGATATATTTTATAATAAATGAAGGCATTTATATTTAAATCTGCTGTTTATACTTGTTTAGTCACTTTAGTGTATTAAACTTCGATATAGAGGCATTGAAACAAAATGATTTCAAGAATATATCGGCAATTATAATACCCACTGAATCACTGATCTATTCCCGACCAAATCGACAGTAATGATTAATGCCTTTATGCTGATACAAAAAGCAAATGAACTTTTAGTTTATTTGTTTGTTATGTCACTTAATATGTGCAAAGCCAAAGGCGGTGAGTATATAATAGTGTTCGGTATGTTCTATTTCTAAATGTTTATAGTTTAAAAACAAACGCGGGATGTTGTTAAATCAGGCTTAACAAGATTCCTAGAGCTACCCAGTGTGGATTGTTGTCTGCATATATGGACTTATCAGCAATTACATGTAATATAGCATATCAACTTGTATAAGATATGACTTGTATAAGGCCTCAGTTATATATAAAACCTATAAACATGATTCTACTGACATACATTGATATATACATATGGCTGTGTTACCACAATAATGCTCACAACTTCAACTTCTTTCTAACAATATAGTTTTGCAGTTCTGACTGTTCTGAGTATGATCTTATTCATTCAGAAATATAAGCATTGCACTGTATTCAATGGCAAGCTATCCTGGATTCCAGAGCCTTCAGTTAATAATAAATTGAAATATCGTGAAGGCTCTGGTTCAACGGGAGGATTCTTTGATTAAACTGTGCCAATCACAAAACAGAATTAGCAGTTTTAGTACAGATTTTGGGCGTGTTAACCCATTAAGCGCCAGCGCTCTCCCCTTGGTGAGTAAAATCATCTGGCGTTAGACAGAGTAAAATACTCTGGCGTTAGACAGAGTAAAATGCTAATTAAAAGTAGGGTGCATCAGGGTGCAATGCGACCCAATGGGTTAACTAGACACATGGGCAGATAGATCAGTTAACCCATTAAGCGCCAGCACTCTCCCCTTGACGAGTAAAATCGTCTGGCGTTAGACAGAGTAAAATACTGTTCAAAGTAGGGTGCATCAGGGTGCAATGCGACCCAATGGGTTAACTAGACACATGGACAGATAGATCAGTTAACCCATTAAGCGCCAGCACTTTCCCCTTGACGAGTAAAATCGTCTGGCGTTAGACAGAGTAAAATACTGTTCAAAGTAGGGTGCATCAGGGTGCAATGTGACTCAATGGGTTAATATAGTACATAAACATAGGTCATAGACATACAGTTTCAATACAATACAAAATGATTTTGAACAACGTCAAGGTCAATGAAATTATACAAAATGAATTTATGGAATATCAATTAAATGTATTTAAAACAAACAAAATTTCAACATCCCAATAAGCAATAACATTCCAGTAAGTATAAATTCAACTATTTTAAATCAATTGTTTGAATAGCCAAATTAAAAGTTGTACGAGTGACAAAATCATTCAATAATATTCACATTTTATCATTTATATTATGTGTCAACTATCAAAGTCGCACTGTTAAGTATATTAAAATATACTTTTCATAAGATTAGATGTAAGATATAATTGTACGAAGGTAACTGAGGAACGACGATGTGTAAGACAATAAATCATACATACAGTGAAAAACGCTCTTTTTGTAGCACATCCTACATGTACATATCGGCAGCATTTTCCTTGCGATAGTAACTCCTAGTTTATGTAATATATTCAGATTAGCCATTCTTAATTATGCTAAGACGCGGGAAATAAAACATGTGTTATAAGGTTTGTAATAGCGACTTGAAACGATATCGGACACGCTAGATTTATCGGACAAATTATTTGTTGTTAAAGAGGATTGTTCAAAGACTCGCCAAGAAGTAGGTTACTGAGAAAGAACACGTATGTACCATTTATACTTTACTTACACATTAGTTTTATATTTTTATACTTTTAGATCGAATAAAATTATTGACATATTTAATACGTTCAATTGACTATACGATTCGCGGGTCTTTGTCGGTAATATATTGAGTTCTGTCGAACCCAACGGACCAGAGTGGTACATCTTTTGAAGTTTTTTTGCGGGATATGTTTGGCAGCAGCACCAAGAAACAATCAATCTTTCCATTTCGTCCAGTCAGCAAATTCTTTTCATTTCGTCCAGTCAGATTATCAATGCCAATCAAAGGCCGGCTGGATAAAACTAACCAGCTTTTGAACAACCGGCCTTTGATTGGCACTGACAAAAATCTAATAATTGTAGCTAAAATTACGGAAAAATTAACGCAGATTTCAAAGGTTAAAGGTGGGCATAGCTCTGGAGAAATCGAATTGATTCAGGTCTGTGATTGGCTAACGGCAGATAGTACGTTGGATTTCCAACGTAAGTTCTACGCATGCTTGGCAATTGCAGCAAAATATAAACAAAGTATTTGGAATTTCTCGTCAAAAATTTGATACTTTTTACACTGAAATCGAATTGAAAAAACAACTTAAAATTCTGGGGGAAATATGTACGAACGCTTTGGATTGATAGGGATACAACTACATGAAAAATACAAGGAGAATTTCGACGTTTCGAGCGAAAGCGGTTCTACTTCTGCTGTTAGTGTTTGTATACATTGTACTTGACCTTTTATACTGTCGTACCTAAAACTACGTATACCATCACAGGCGGCCCAGACGTGTATTAGTGTATAGTAAATATATCATTATAGAATATACTACACAGTAAAATTTGTAATGAATTTTATATTTTAAAATCATATTTACTTGCCTACTTTGATTGTATGTGATCGTCTTTTATTTCTGAGCGACTTTACATTCGATGCCTGCGACTGTCTTCATAGGTGATAGTATTGAAAGCAAAGGCTAACGATTCCAATTCTCAAACAGCCGACACGAACAATTCAAATCGAAAAATATCCCCTTCAAATTGCTTTCTTCGCGGTAAAACTTCGCCAGCGTATAGAATAAACACCCATCTTCGAACATACAAAGCAATATTAACACGTCCTGTAATTTTTACAATGGATTTTTAGAGAAATGTTTCGAGACTAAAATTCTATGGAACTTAGAAAGCCCAATAATTACTACGGCGCCTGCTTGGCCACCTAGCCTCCTTTACCGTATGGATTTTCAGGGGGGGGGGATCGAATAAAAAACACCTATTTCCGGCAACAGCCAGCCAATCAACGCCGCGATACCGACTGTTTACAATATTTGAAATCTGATATTGTAATATTTGCAAAAGCTCTCTTTCTATCTTATACTATAATTATTATTATTTATTTTGCCCAATAAAAAGTTTACATAATTACAGTGCTATAATAACAACGTGAAGGGCTGGGGACCTTAATGAAACCCTTTCAGGCTTTTTGGTAAGAGGTCCCTAGTGTTACAATTTTCATAAGAATAATTTTTGAGAGTCGAATAGAATATTTACAAGTAATGATTATAACATAACTAAGTAATAAGAAGAAGAAAAGTTTAATTTAACTAAAAATTATTTTTCTATATACAATACATGAAGGCTTTGTGTTTTCAGATGCGTATATACAAACATTATGACTTGTTTGATGATAATCAAATATATTCCAAAAAGAATATCTTTGATTTTATTTTAAAAGTAAAATAAGACCTAATATTGTCTTCGCTCGAAACGTCGAAGTTCTCCTTGTATTTTTCAGTTAGTTGTATCGGCCCTATCAATCCGAAGCTTTCCCACAGAATTTTTAGTTGTTTTCAATTCGATTTCAGTGTAAAAAGTTTCAAATTTTCGACGAGAAATTCTAAATACTTTGTTTATATTTTGCAACAATTGCCGAGCATGCGTAGAACTCACGTTGGAAATCCAACGTGAATCAATTCGATTTCTCCATAGCCTACGATGTAGACCCCAGCAGAGATCTAGATTGCTAACGCATACCTAGCGCAGGTGGGGCTATAAAGGTGGGGCCTACATGATAAATCCAAGATGGCGGTACAACAGGGCAAAAAGACTATAGATTCTATTACGATTTTTGCATTTTTTGACGTGGCATTGTTTCAAAATTTATTCGGTCAAATTTTATGGTAAAGAGAAACTTACCGCGAAGATTTTGAGCATATATATGATTGAATTGGATGAAAACTCGCAAAATTATCCATCGATAAAAGTTCGTGTGAAATGGTCAGTTGGTCAGTTGGAGCGTTTTATTGCCAGAAATACTGTGCTATGTTAACATCTAGCCTTGCGAATGGTGTTTTATACTTGCATCTCTCATCATCATCTGCTCTGTCCTCATAATTGTGAAAAATGAACTGTTATGTACCCCCCCCCCCTTGCTTGTTAGAGAAGTAAACTGATGAGAGCACTGGATGAGGGTCTATCATCTATGGTCTGTTATAATTTGCTTTTTATGCAAATAGTGAGCAAAAATTAAAGCAAAACTGTACAAGTTACATATATAGTACTATATCAGTACTATACACGAACTTTTATCGCTGGATAATTTTGCGAGTTTTCATCCAATTCAATCATATATATGCTCAACATCTTCGCGGTAAGTTTCTCTTTACCATAAAATTTGACCGAATACGTTTCGAAACAATGCCACGGCAAAAAATGCAAAAATCCTGATTTTCGTAATAGAATCTATAGTCTTTTTGCCCTGTTGTACCGCCATCTTGGATTTATCATGTAGGCCCCACCTGCGCTAGGTATGCGTTAGCAATCTAGATCTCCTATATCTATGGTCTACACTAGCCTCCTCCGCAGGCAACTCTGTTATTTCTGTCACATCAGTATCACAATTCACAAAGCTCAGTGATCAGTACGGTTCCCCTGTGTAGTGTATGGGCGGGCGGGTTACGCGGGCGGGTTACAGGGAAAAGAAAAGGAGGAGTTGCCTGCCATATATCGAATGGTAGTGACGTGCCGATGTAGATTGGATGGATGCGCCAATGTACCCGGGTACCCTAGGGAAGGTTTTGCACATAATATAATTGCATTCTACATGCTTATTGTAAATATGGCGTCGAAAGCATGTGGGCAAATTGACCATAAGCAGCGGAGATATATAAGTAAAATACCAATTTTAAGTAAAAACTACAAGGACAGTTTAAGAAATGTAAAACATAAGCGTCTAGATATCGAAAGAAGAGAAGCAGAATTGAGTTTGATGGGAAAAGAATTGTTGGAAATGTCAGAAGGAAGGCCATCGCCATCGGTATATTTAACAGTTGATCATGGAGATGATAATGGTCGATCTGTAACAACAGAATTATTAAAACCTGCGCCAGCGAGTACCACATTAATACCGTCAAAAAGTGTTGTTGAACCACTTAGAAGCGTTATTATCACTCCAAATGGAACGAAACGGAGAGGTAAGGTTATTTAAATTAATTCAATATTTATGTATTGAAGAATGTAATTGTCAATTGTGTATAAAACAGTCAAAATACAAGAAATTTAATCCACCTATTCTGTTGTTATTTTCTTTAATTTGTTCTGTGTTGTTCTGTATTAGTATGGAAGTGGAAAGATTCTTGTATTTTGACTGTAAATGTTTTTCTAGTTAATCGGGGATTCATCGTAAGTTCAGTTTGGATTTGGAGAAAATTCTTCAGACCTGTGTGACAGTTGCAGAGGGAAAAGAGCTGAAAGTGTGTGATCTGTTTGACAAGCTTGAGGAAGTCTCACCAGGGGTGAAGAGAATCGAACGTGAGAAAGTCCTACGCACGTTTGGTAAAATATTTCATACTAAGCTCCAGCATAAAGGACAACAACGAGAGTATGTTATTAGCTGAATTCATATTAGAAAACGGATTTACTCGCCTCAGACGAGAAACTCGTCTTGATATGAATTCGGTTACTGTAACGACAGGTTTTCCATCTCAACTCTTCCGTCTAACTTTCCTGTTTGAACGACGGGAAAGTTAGACGAGTTTCTCGTCTTAGACGGAAATTTAAATTAGATGAATAAATCAAGACGTCTTTCCGCTCGTAACATCCAAAAGAGACAGGGATGGAGGGTCTCTTATTTTTTTGGGTTTATCCGTCTGATAGTTTTCGTTTCATACTTATACCAGACGGAAATCCGTCACACGAGTTTCCCGTCTTAGATGGAAGTCTGTTTTCTAATATGAATTCAGCTATTATATAAAGTTTTGAATAATTCTATTATTACAGATACACTTTATTATTAGTAATATAACTAAATTTAAACACTTGAATGGTTTAATGCATTTCCATGATAATTAATAATTAAAGATTTGTTTTGTTTTTTTATTTTCCAGAGGATACTACAGTGGTCTTACACTTATTTCTACTGCTAGCCCGGCTGATAGTGGATTCGATAATGCTAGTAACAACAAAGGTGAAAGGCATTGTTGCAAAATTGCATGGTGATATATGATGTATTTCAAATATTTACAGTGTAGAGCATAGAAGTTAGTACGATTTTATAAATGCACATGTATATGATTCACCCCCTACTATATTTACTACATGTTGGATTGGAATTAAAATGTTATAATTTATATTTTTAGACCAGCCTGAAAAAATTGTGTCGTCCCCTCAACACAAAATGAGAAAAGGTATTATGTATGCTAAATATGTACAGGGAACGGTATAGGGGGCAATACTATGTTTTTCAGTTGGTCACAATTTTTACATATTTATCACAACATGTATAATGTAGAACTTACATAGTAGATTCTGTTCATTTATTTATTTATTTATTTATTACACTTTGCCACTTACAACAAACAAGTGGCAGGGTCACCACAACAGTATACACCAATTACCGTGTGCCATTTAACCCAATAAGCGCCAGCGCTAGCCTCTCCCCTTGACGAGTAAAATCGTCTGGAATTAGACAGAGTAAAATACTAAAGTAGAGTGCATCAGAGTGCAAGCCACTCAATGGGTTAAAAATTGATAAATTTTAAGAATACAACAGTATAGGGGCCTTGGTGGCCAAGTATTAGGGGCCTTGGTGGCCAGGTATTAGGGGCCTCGGTGGCCAAGTGGTAGCGCACTTGCCTTTCACCTCTAAGGTCGCAGGTTCAAATCTCAATGAGAATTTCTCAATGTGACTCGAACCCAGTCCTCATGTGAAAAGAGAAAAAAGTCAACGCTCTGCCGAAAGTTGTGGGTTTTCTCCAGGTACTCCGGTTTCCTCCCACAGGGAAAGTTGACAGGGTGGGTTAGGCACATATTTCGGTGTAGGACTTCAAATCTTCAATTGGGACTAATGGTTCTGTGTCCTTCACCTGTCATTGAAAATGGCAACTTCATTAAATTCAAATTCATATCACAATATAAAACTACATTGCACAGTACAATATAGAATATAATGCAATGCAACACAATGCAACACAACGCAATGCAATGCAATGCAATACATAGCAAGAACAATATTCAACTTCCTTTGCCACTACCGCCACCAACAATATTATAGTTTACCGAGCTAACCAATCATGCACACCAGGTCAGCGAGAGGTAGCGGTAAGTGGTGGCAAAATCCAAATCCCAAACTCGCTAAAACAACAAGAGATTGGACTAGCCATACTTCAAGCCTTGTTGCATTTTAGGCAGATATAGAAGAATGGTTTGAAGAAAAAGGAGAAATGGATGAAAGAAGAATGGTTTGAAGAAAAAGGAAGGGAGACAGTGAAAAAATACCCATGGGCTGATAAAAAGTTAAAGCCTGGTGAACTGGTTCCACCTAGATACATAAGCAGCTATCAGAAAGGACAGGAAAAGGCAGAGATTGAATTTCCTGGCTTTCTTCACAGGAAATATCTAAATGACATGCTTTAGCTTGTAAATTAAGGCTTTTATTAAGCAGTTTAAAACACAGTTTATATTTAAGAGTTGATTATTGATGATGTCAAAAAATTAATGAGTTTATAATTGAAGTAAATATTTAATAGATTACTAAAGTTAGTATTTCAGTCGCTTACTCTAGGTACTATCCAAAATGTCCTTAATCCTTTTGTTCGTAACCCGCCCGCCTGTACACTTCACATCGAACCCATACTGATGTTACTGAGTTGCCTGTGCAGGAGACTAATGTAATGAATATAATAGCTTCATCCCCAGGCAACTCTGTACATAATAATGACTCAGTACGGGCACATGCTTTATTATTCAGTTCTTTATACTGAGTTTATAGGGTTGCCTGCAGAGGAGGCTAGCTTGAATATAAAATATATTTTACAGTCCATGCATACATTAATTAATCAAAATATTTTCTGTTAATAATCTGTTTCAAAGAAGCAAATCATGTCTTTTCATACTTATCTATCATAAAGTTGTTAGCAAGCAAGTCATGAGCCTTGCTTCCAAGAGTTATTTCAACAGAAATGCTGCTGCCAGTACCTTTCTTGTGTATTCTTTCAGTTAGGATATCACCAACAATTAACAGATGTAAGAACTTTGCTAGCAAAGAAACAGGTACAAACTTCTTCCCTAAGCTTCCAAATGTGGCATATTCTTGCAAATGTGACACACATTTCTGGTTGCTACCAGCTAAATACAGCTTCAAATCATTGCATGTTAAGTTAATGTTGCTTAATTCAACAACTGCTTGCAAAACTTTTAAAGCATCTGATGTACCATCAGTGATCTGATGAGTTCCACGGTGTTTACAATTGCTGCATCCAGTAAGACATATAAAGCTATCATGCTTTTCTCCAAAATAGCTCATTATGCCTTGATGAAGGCACTGCACTGGGTTTTCAAGAAGTACAATCAAGTCATTTACACCTTTATATTGTGCTATGACTTGTTCATCAAACAGTCGATACAGAATGTTTTTATCACTGTAATTATAAAAAAGCTTACAGTGTGATGGCAAGCCATCACGACCTGCTCTGCCACATTGTTGAAAGTATTCTTCAATGTTAGTGGGCAATTTTGCATGTAAAACATACCTCACATTAGCCTTGTCAATACCCATCCCAAATGACGAGTTTGCCACAATAACATTTACTTCACCACTCATCCACTTCGACTGACTGGATAATTTAACAGCATCAGACAATTTACCATGATACTTCACAGCATTAATTCCTCGTTTTAAAAGTTCACCATGTATCTTGCAAACATCTTTAGGGAGTACGCAGTAAACAATACCACAAGCATCTTTGTTTTGCGAAATGAAATCAGACAGTTGGTCAAGGAATTTTCCAGTTCGCTCAACTACTTCCAAATATAAATTTTCTCTATAAACAGTTCTACGAAGGACAGTAAAGTAGTTTTGGACACTTTGCCTTACACAAATTCTTACATACATCTTTATAATTCGGTCTAAAGGTATTTCCCCAACTCGATATAGTGTGTGCTTCGTCAAACACTATTCGCTCAAGGTGACCAACACCAGCAAGTCCATCAACTTTAACTCGAAGTGGCTCGCCGTCTTCTAAGCATTCAGGAGTAGCAAAAATAATCTTGAAATCTTCTATGTTATGTATCTGTTCTTTTCTCACATCATGGGGAACATCTCCAGTAAACTTGCAACTGCGAATGTTAAGATTTAGGCAGCGAACTAGGGTGTCATCAATTAAAGACTTGATAGGAGATAATACAAGAGTAGGATGGGAAGAAAGAACGGCAGGCAGTAAGTATGTGAGAGTTTTTCCTCCTCCTGTTCCAACAACTGTAAGAACATTCTTTTCAGCCATAGTGGAAATAATCGTTTCCTTTTGAAGAGGTCTAAACGAAGGAAACCCAAAATAGTTTCGAAGCGTTGTATCGATTAATGAACCGTTTGAAAAGTCAAGTCTCTCAGACGCGTTCGTAAAAGTATAAACAACAGGATCGTCGGTCGTAGACACCGTATTAACTTCATTCTCGGAGACTTTGACATTTTTTTCCAGGAGCTCAACAGCAACAGGGTCTGCATTAATAGCTCTATATTTAAATTCGTCTTCATTTGGCGAGATAACAGTAATAACTACACCACGATCATCGATATCGAGCTGTCCACCTTCTCTTACATGTAAGGTAAATGCCATTTTAACTGCTGCTTCAAAGCTTGAACTTGCTTTTACTTCAATTTCTTTTTCACCACTTAGAACTCTAAAGTATTCGAATTCATCTTCAAGTGAGGGGAGCCCTTGTATTTCATCGAAGGTTAAATTGCAGACAGCCATTTTGAATTTTTGTCATTCTGTACCTTCCCACTCCCCCATAACTCCATAAAATTGAAATTGTTGATGCGCAATGACGATGCGCAACACCAGATATAATTGTCGATATATGGCAGGCAACTCCACCATATTTTTCGTAACCCGCCCGCCCGCCAATACACAACACAGGGAACCCGTACTGGGACATACAGAGTTGCCTGCGGAGGAGGCTAGTAACAATTTTGATCTGACAATTTTTATTTGCTTGTGTAGACGAGGAAAATTGGGCATTTTTTGTGTGGCAAATACAGCTGCTGAAAAGCTAGCGTGTTAGCTTTTATGTGACAAATAAAAGTTGTCACATACGAAAAATTGCTCGTCACATAAAGTCATATTTTTTCTCCCGCCATATATATGAATGAGATCATTTCTATAGTCATTAGCCTGTACATTAGTTTCTCGTTGAGTTGTTATAATAAAGCTTATGTCTTAAACTGGTTAATATTATGTGTATGAACAGACGTCACAATGCCACATGGTGGCAGAACCTGCGATCCAATACTAAATATACCCTTAGGACTTCCTGTTGCAATGATAAATTCCACCTAACGGGTGTTTACGTAACTCATAAATCTGCGACCCGCAACCTGTGATCCGCGACCCTGTGACCTGACCTGTGACCTGTGAAATAGACCCGCCGTAAGTTCATCATAAGGTAGAATGGCAGTTGGCATTTACCAGAAGCATGACGGTTCAGTGCATTATGCCACTCTTCGATGTTTTTATTGGTGCGGACTGCTTGTTTAAAAACACTCCAAGTGGGTGGTGGCCAAGTTGATCGTTTAATTGTAGATTATACAAGGGCTGCTTGCAGCCTGAAGTGTAATATTAATTATACGAAAAATATGATATTTAACAATTCATTATCTCTTTATTCACTCCAAATATACAGTGATTAACAGCAAACTATTAAAATAACATTAAGTAATGTATATCATATTGCCGCCGGCCGGACCATGGGCTCTTGTCTTTGAAATGAACGAATCATCCACCTGAAAAGAAACAAAATAACCACTATAACATAAAAGGGTGGGTTAATGGGTGGGATTGCATTGTTAAATATCGACTCATATTTCTCCTATAATTAATATTACACTGTCCTCGCTGGAGCAGTATTAAACTGTGGGCGATAATAGAATTTAATAAAAGTACTTTGTCAAGACAAGTCTGCAAATTGCAAAATCTCTGATACTGAGAAGCCCTGTTTTGCTGCTTCCATGGTAACAGCTCCACGAAAGGAATGTCCTTTAAAGGTAGAAGTATCAATACCAGCTAGAAAAAGGAGTTCCCTCAACCACCTCGCGCAACTGTTGCCGAGGCAACTGCTTTGTGAGGATAGATGTATGACGACAATAACTTGTTAGGTTTTGATGGGTCGGTTGACCTCCATGCTGCTGTACGATTTTCATATTCGGCAAGGCATTTGCATACACACAATAAGTTATTGTGGTTTAGTGTTTTTTGTTACTTCAGGGAGTTTAAATTCAACACCTTCTGCAATACCAGAAGCTCTATCAGGAGCAGTTAAGGCTAGTAGGCCTACCAACTTGTAGGATTATATTTTGGTGGAAAGTTGGGCATTTGGACCCAACAAATTTATGAACTGTACTAGCTTATCGACTTGCCATATTGGAGCGTAGCGTGGTCGAGGTGGACGGAGATGATACACCCCATTTATTAACTGGGAAACTAAAGAGTGGGTGCCCCCCATTTTGTTTATGTAGGTTGCCGCTGTGACATTGTCCATTAGGAGGAGTACCTGGGCTTTTGCCTTTTGCATGCGGTAGAAGAAAGGGCATCGTTTGAGGAAACGCCTGCCCAAATGGCCATGACAAATTAGTTTTCGCCCATTAAGGATGATTGACGTTTTGTAATTAGCACCATCACCCATTATCCAATCATAGTCGAGATTTATATTTAGCATCATGCATGCCATTTGCTCGGCAAGTAGGGAGATTTGCAGAGATTCTATGTACTATTTAAAACATGAGCAGCAGTGTATTATCAGAAATAAAGATGGTCTGATAAAACACACACTGCGAATGTTTTAATTCTGGTAAGTTCATTGGCGAAGTAACTTTCAAAAAATTTGTTGTGTATGTCGAGAAAATCAAAGTTAAATACGACACGTTTATGATTTTTCTTTGTGTTTTCCTCCTGAATTATTAAATACTTTTTGAAGCTATTTTAGACAACAGTCACAACGCAGAGCTTTTATCCTTTAAAAGGCTTCTGAACCACTACCAGTTGAGTGTGTTTTGAACTGTTAATATTCTTTATAAAATCATCATCCAACTTCATAGCTGCAATGCCAAGTAATGTAGCCTCAACAAATATCAAAACAACTATAAGAAATATTCGATCCCTGCTCATGGTGGCATTAGATGATCAGAGCTATTAAAATAGCATGTGGCAAGCTTTAATAATTTGCCGATATAAATGTATAATTGAAACCCAAACTTTTCCATATCCCGTAGATAGAATCGCGATAACCGGCATCTTCACCACGTAGCAAATTAATAATAGACTTTCTCTGTTCTGGTTTCAACTGAATTTTGGAGCCTAAATACTTGAAATATAAGAGTTCCCTCGAAAGCATTAACAGGCATATTTTTTATGAGAAATATACGACTATCGCTATTTCGATATGCGAGCAAAATTGTTGTTGACATTTGAGTTATGTAATTACTTCTGTTAACGAGATTAACCTTTTTTTTTCGAAAAGAACAAATTTGTCATAGGCATTTGAGCAGGCGTTTATTTAATGACGCCCTCTCTTCTCCCACCCGCACTACACGTCTGCTATGCAGGCTATGTTCCATGCAACAATATTGTTTTTCCACCACTGAACCTCCTGAAGGGCTTCTGAATCTAGGTTGACCAGAGCTTCGTAAGATTTCTGTCTTTTCAGGACAAAATTCTTCACTTGCTGGAGGTAGCGGTAATGCAGTGGGGCAGGAAATACTGCCTGAATTGACGAAGATAGTAGGCCCAGGAATTTTGACAACTCCCGAACTGGAGTTACTGGGTTGTCTAGTAGTTGTTGACAGTTTTGAAGGACTTTATTTATTTTGTCCTTTGGGAGACTCGGGGTCATACGATCTGTTGGGATGGTGTTAACAGTGACTTTGGATAGTTTACTACAAACCCCAGTCCCTCTAATAGATTTAGTGCTGTTGTCACATGCTGTAGGGCAAGTTGTGCTGATTCTGCCATTATAAGAAAGTCGTCTACGTAAGCTATGAGTTGAATGCCTCTCTGTCGCAAAACTGACAGGACTGGTTTCATAAGCTTTGTGAACACTCTTGGAGCGCTCGCAAGGCCGAATGGAAGGCATGCAAACTCCATAAGTGAGTCCCTCCAGAGAAATCAGAGGTACTTCTGGTGGTCTCTCCAGACAGGTACTGTCAGGTATGCATCCTTTAAGTCTATTTTCACTAAATAATCGTCTTTTCTTAAAAGATATTTTAACATGTGTATTGATTCCATTTTGAAATGCTTGTGATGTACAAAATTGTTTATAACTGGCCTGTGCCCCCACCCTCTTGGGGTACTACAAAAAGAGAGCTGACAAATCCCTTGTCGTTGTCTGGGCTGCCCAAAACATAATGAACTGCCCGTTTGGCTAGCAGTTCCTGAACTTCCTGGTCTATCAAGAGTTGATCCTCTCAATATGACCATTTTTGGGGGGATTCACTTGTACCAGAGTGGAAGTGAATTGTATTTGGTAAGCTTGGGCTACCTGAAGGACCAAAGGGTCTCTCGTTATTTGATCACATGCCGCTAAATAATATTTTAACTGACCTACTATTGGTTGGTTGGAATAACTTAAAAGATTTTGAAACATACCTGGTGGAAAATGACTTCGGCACTGTGATGTTACTGTTTTGAATGGAACTGTCGAGGGGAACTGCATGTGTGTGCTCAACCTCTGAAGTTGTTGAATGGGAAGTGGTTCCCTCGCATTGAATGGAAGAAGCTTGGGTGCTTTGACCTCTACCACCCCAGAAACGCCCTTGAAATCGCCTGGGGGCAGACCCGGGAAAAAACTGTCTTCCCACTTTCTTGGCCCGAGCTTTCAGTGCTAAGCTTGAGTCTGGATTCAAACCCTTCACTAAATAATTCTTTTCCAGCCTCAGGAAAATCTTCTTTTACCCAGTGATGTAAGATATGGGTCAAGTTTCATTAAAACTTGGTCGCGACGTTTCACAGACAGTTGGGCAGAGGTATCTCCCACTAGCAGAATAGCTTTCTTTACACAGTTAAACATTGCAGAAACTGAGGCTTTATTCAAAGTTATGTTATCTTTGGTAAAGGATTCATGCATGAGATTAATGTTCTCATACAATGGGCCCAAAATATCAAGCACCTTGTCTTGCATTTCTCTCAATGCTGTGTCTGACGTTTTGACACTGCTTATCATGGATGGCAAATAACTATGTAGGCTTGGAGTCCATATGCTGCATTGCTAGCAGGTCTGGTGAGTTCTCAACAACTTCACCATGTTCATTGCTGTTTCCGGATTTAAGTCTAAATTGTGTTGAATCGGACAAACATATACACACCCCTGTCCCACAAACCTTTTAAGGAAATCAACCGTGTGACCATTCTGCCCTTCGCTAATCACACTCAGTTCCAGTGAACCTGGTTTTGCATGCATGAATTCATAACCCCCACTATCACTCAACTTGGGGAATGCTTCTTTCAAACCAACACTTACATCATTTGCATTGCCTTCTCCAGGCAAAGTTACTTTTTTTTCTCACAGTCCAGCGACAAGTAGTTGTTGTTTTTCAGCATTAGTCGGAACGTCATGTTGTGTGGTAGAAGCCAGACAAAAAAATTTTATTGTCACATCTTTCACTGTCTTTTTTTTTTCGCCCTTGCTTGTGTGTTTGAGGCAGTCCGGAGTTGAGAGGAAGTCGACGACCCAGAATGAGACGTTGATGGATGATACGAGGCAA